AATTGACTATAATAATATTTAAAAGGGCAACAGGTGTTTCCTTCATATCATGATTTCTTATAACAGCATCCAAGTTAGTTCTGATTTCTTTAAAATCTTGTATATATGTTAGTAATGGTAGTTTCAGTATATTTCTTAAGGAAAAAAGCTATATGTTATGGAACAAGCAATCAATTGCTATGTAATTCTATAATTAAAAGCATAGATACACACATATGCCCTAAATAAACAGGATTCCTTCTATGTACAGTGTATTAAAGGCTATCAAGCATTAAATAATTTAATTAACACAGATATACAATCTCAATAATTCAGTACTAAAATCCAGTGATAGGAAAGACACCTCAGAACTGATATTTGGTAAAAAATAAGACTTAAAATCTGATAAACACACACATACACACACACACACACACACACACGCACGCATGCACACACACACACAAATGTGTGTGTGCCTGTAAAAATGATTTTAGAATTCTCTTTTAATGTGTCTTTATAATTCATGCAATTCCTAAATGTGTTTGTGATCAAGTATGCAGAAAATGTAGAAATTTCTAATTAAAAAATAAACTCTTAATCTGTTTCTTAAAGAATTTACTGAATATTATTTCCAAACATGGTATTGTCATTGATTCTTTCAAATTATATTTAATTTACATGTTTTCCATTTCTTCAAATAAACTCATTTCTGAGGCCTTAGAAGGTATTCAGTGTGTGCAGCAGTTTGATGGAGCACAATCTTTTCTCCAACATCTCCATCTGCTGGCTCAGAGAAAAAATAAAATTTCAATCGCTATTTTATGTAATTTTTAAATTTTTATAATTTATGTACCACTATAGAATTAAAATATAAAAATGTTAAGTTACTATTAGCTAGATAAATGCTTATTTTCACAATACTCCATTAGAATAAATCGAAACAGATTCATGTGAGCAAATTTATTATTTATTCTTTAATCCCCAAATCCTACAATATAAAATTCTTGTATGTATAATCTATTTAGAAAGTTCCTCTTTAAGTGTTTTTCTAATTAATGACATATATAATTTGATTAAAATAATTTATAGTATATAATACTTAACAAATTTCTAAAATCCCCTCTTAGTTTTGTTAGCTAACCTTACAGTGTGTTTAGAAACATAAATATCAACTTAATCATAAATACATAAAATCATAAATATCTTTTCTCAAAAAATTGAGATTTTTCTCTTACTATGATGAATTACTCATGAAGAACTGCTAGAGTGCCTTTTCATACTCATACTAAGCTACTTATACAAGACCTCAGAGGCTACTCCTTATGAAAAGCATAGCATTTCCAAGTCTTTCAAAACCATTAGAAAGACCACTGAAGTAAATGACCAGAAAGCAACTGTGATTGGGAGTATACTCATTTATTCTCTGGCAATTCGAAGGTACTAGGGAAATGGTACTGGATGGATGGATGGAAGGATGGAGGGAGGGATGGATGGATGGATGGGTGGAGAATTGGAATCTGAGGTATCTAACTGCTTTCAACTCCTGCTAAAATGATAGTCTCAAATTTCTCTCTTCTTTTAGCTTTTAAATTTTTCTCATGATAAAGGCTTGTTTAAACGTTCATTTGAAAAATTATCCGAAAAGAAAGGAAAGGAGGGAGCAAGGGAGCAGTGGGGAGAGGAGAAGGTCTTGAAAAGAAAAAGAAATAAGGCAGAAGAAAAAAAGAAAAATAGAAACATTGGAAATCTGTCTTTGTCTTCTCTGGTATCCATGGAAACAAATGGGAACAAACAGGTACTTTCATCATCCGTTGTGGCTGAAAAGGTGTGGGAGCTGAGTGCAGCAGAGCACATTCTACATCAGAATGAAGTGACTTCCTTCCATTTAACTCTTCCACCTTTCAGTAGACATACTTAGATGTTTAACTCTGTGCCAGCCTCAATGTTCCTCAGTAGGAGTATCCATCTCACAGATACAGTTAAAGTACTAAGCAGATTCATTCCTGTCAAAATGATATGCCTTAATTCTAAAGCTTTTGCTTTCTTAACTAATAAATCTTAATTAATTTTTTCTCCAAACTAATTAAGATAAAGAATAATCTCATTCAGAAGCAGCAATTAGTAATTCCTATAATTCAACATTGTCATTACAGGAGACCTCCTTAGGTTTCCGGAAACAAATGGGGGAAAGATGTTTTGATCTTATTTGTCAATGTACTTAATGCTGTTGCATCCCTTGGATGAAAGATGACTAAATACAGCAAGGAAACAAATTATCTATTTGCACTGGGATAAAACCCAGAGCCGACTCTAAATGATCACGTTTACCTTCATACATGTAGGCAACAGAGACATTTATTTATTTATTTATTTATTTATTTATTTATTTAACCTGGAAGTGGTGGTTGTTTTGGTTGTGCTTCACACATATGCCTCTTTTCCTCCTATCTCCTTTCTTCCCTTTAAGAGTTAAATTAATTGCACCAGTTCTACTGCCCTTAGCCAATAATAATAATAATAATAATAATGTAAATATTTGTCTTTGCAAGTTTTGAAAATTCGAAAGGGAGAAAATAAATAAAAATGTAAATTGACTTTTCACCACCTGCAAATGTGGACTCTGGAAAATTCTGTTTACAGAGCCTCATTTCTGTAACTTTGCCTGTAGTTATTTGTCTCTAGCAGTCAGTAAGCTTACAGCGTTGGAGTTGCAAAGTCAAGATCTTGGATTCTCCTGGGGCATTGTTTTGATCGTTTCCTCGTGTTATCTTGGTGCCTGGTATACTGTTCTGTGGGTGGGGTAGCTTTATGATCTGGGAATGTACACTTTAAAATTTTTGCTTCAGTGATTTTTTTTAAAGAAAAAAATCTATTTTTTAAAAAAATGAAGACTTGAATGTACTGGTTTTTAAAACTATGGTCAGGTATATGAAATTCAGTATGTAAAAGAAAACTATGTATTTGTTTCATGTTTCATACTCTCACCACATATCTTATTTCAGTACAATTTATAGCAGAAATAAACCTATTCAACGATATTGGCTTGAGGATACATGCCACACAAACTATAATCTCTGAACCTTAAATAGCCCCAATACAGTGGCTCAACACCTGTTGGAATAGAGAAATATTCGTTTAGTTTGGTCGATGCATTTGTTATTTTCCCAGTAAGCTCATCTCATTATTTTTATCAACAATCACCTTCTTGATTATTAAATATTTTCAAATGTCTCAATATTTTAGAATCTTTGTACAATCCCTCTTTGCAAGGCATTGTGATACTATATTTGTACATGCAAATGTAGCTGGGTAAAATTCAACACAAGCATGTCAAACTGTAACTCACAAGAAAGAGGAACTTCTTGGTAGCACAGGAACAGCTTAATTCCATAGGTAAATAGGACAATTACAGACGCCTTTCACATTTATTGAAAACATTTTCTTTGTGTCTGTTATGTAATAAAATTTATTGTATTCAAGTACTTTTCTGTGATCGTCTTTTACATTTTAATATTCTATTCATTTACTTATTTGGAGGGGGCATGTGGAGGTCAGAGGACCAGAACCACATTATCACCCTATGTATTTCTTCATTTATTTGTTTGGGGACAGGATTTGCAATCTGGCCTGTTGATGTCCCTGTTGTTACAGAACTAAAGCACAGAGTACATGACAGGCTTTGGGGGAGGGGGGCGTGGGTGGGATGGCAACCGGTTGTGGGAACACTGCCTTGGGCATTTCCTCTGGTGATTTTCCGCTCTGTTACAGGGGAACCAAAGTGGGAGGTGAACCACCTGCAAATCTTCCTCCAAATTGTTATCTATGGAATGGAAGCTGAGAACACCAAGGCAGGAAACATCTGCCAGCCGGAAATGGTAGCAGCTGGGAGCGCGGAGGATGCTGCCTCAGCGTGGGGACCTGGTCGCCGGCCTCGGGCGACCTCACACTTGCCCAGCAACTGGACACCAGTTATTCTGCCCAAAGCCTTGCCAGGGCGTCCTCATGAGTTCCAGATCTCTACGCAGAGGCCAGGGGCTGATACTGAAAACTGCAAAGGCTAAAATGGCTGTTCTGCGACTTCTTCAGATTTTAAAACTCAGTTGGATGGAATCGCTTCCCAGTCACCCTCAGTCTCTAGTCACCTTTGCCAGAGCCTGCAACCCTGGAACAAAGCAAGCGCAGCCGGCGAGCACTCAGGCCATCCTCGCCTCCACTTAGGCGTAGCTTCAGGGAACTGAGAAGACATTTAGCTTCTGGTCCTAGCCTTCCTCATCCCTGTTCTGCTGGCGACCAGGTTGAGGTTTGTATCTGGCAGCCATCCCCATCAATACCAGCATGCCCCGCTGCCCGCATTCTCAGTCCTTCGGGGTCTCCATTCTCTTAGCATCCCTTCCATGCCCGCTCACACCCGCCAGTCAGGGCCTGCGTCAGTTTCGTGCCCGCGCCCCTCGGGTGGGCATTATGTAACAGCCCCGAGCCCAACTCCACAACCATTGCAATAACTTGTCCCGTGCAACAGAACGACGTGGGGCTTGCGGGGATTGCATGTCGAAGCTGCTCCGCCAGGCTATAGGACTAAGGCATGAGATCTGTCCAACAGTCCCACAGCGCGCCCTGGGGAACAGCATGTTCTCTTTTGGTAGAGTGCCAACAGGCGCGCAAGAGGGAGGGGGTTGGGAGATCCTCTTTGGAGGCGCCAGAATCAAGCAAGGACCCCCTGAATTCCAAAGGCCAGTCCAAGTTCAACCCCTACCCCAGATTTTAGGGTGCACATATTGGCACACTGTTCAGTGCCTTTTGTCTCCACTTCACCACCCGCCGGCCAGTGGGGGTCCCAAAGATTACAGCCACCTTCTCTCTGTACCCTCACACGCACGCGCGTGTGCAGTCACTCCCACCCACACATGACAAACCAGGAACACACACACACACACACACACACACACCATCCTTCACTGGCAATCACAGGCTTGCTTTCCCTGTGCAGCACTGGAAAGACATGAATATTCATTACTTACAAGCATTGGTGACTGCGAAACTGTTGGCTACCTCCAAATTGTCGATATGGGGTGTCAGTCTGAACTCCGAAGTGGAAAACTGAACCATCCCTACCCGAAATGCACTGTATTCTTGATCAGCGCCCCTTGGAAATAGCCCCCCTGCAAAGAAAAATTAGCAAGCAAGAGAACATTGTCAGAGCCCTGGAGAGATAAGAGTGGGATGCTAGCACCCAACAGCCCCAGTCTCTTATTCACACTAACCGCTCTAATCAACATCCTGAGTTGGGCAGCAAGGGTCGGACGTCCAAAAGGTGTCCAACGGGTCTAAGGCTAGGAGGAGAGTCTGAAGACCTAAAATGCTTTCCTTTTTTATCTCAAGCTTTGCGTTTATAACCCCGAAAATCTGAGCACACTAGGAGATGCTTTCAAGGCAGAAGTAACGCAGTCCCGGGGTCAGAAATGAACAGATTCTTTCCCCTCTATTGTGTCAAAAGGCATAGTCATTTCTTTTTGCTTCAGCCTAAGAAAATCATGTATATTCTAGGTAGTTTAAATCTGGAATGCAGTCAAGGTATGACATAAGTCTACATGACATGAATTAATTTGCTCACTGTGAACAAAGATTACCACCAAATTATGCACAATTCAAAGGCATAACAGAAAAGGTACCTACCTATCTGTATGCTGTTAGAAGAGACACCAAAAATCAGTCCCCATAAAACAGGAGAAAGGAGGACAGAAATATGCATAATCTTTTGCATTTCCAAGAAAAGTAGAGCATCCACAAAATACCCTCTCGTTTCCCTTTCCTCCTCTTCCTTCTTTGACTGTTTTCCTCAGCAAATTAGATCCTCTGCATTTTGAGGTTTAGCAAAGAGATGCTAAAAACACGAAGTGAAGGCAGAAGAATCCTTATTTTCCAGGTCTAGCTGGTGGCTGTTGATGCCTTGCGTCCTGTCCCTGCTCCCGAAGTCCTGAGGACTGGCTGAATGCAGTTTTTAGCTGAGCTGCCGCTGTGGTCCTGGTGTCTGGGAATATCAGCACCCTCCCATGCACTCACACAATCACCCTCTCTCGAGCTCTCTTCTCCCTCTCTCCTCTCTCACACGCGCGCGCACACACATACACACACATACACACACGCACACACACACAGGAAAGTCACAGAGAGGGGCAGGCAGTCCCGGGCGCGCGTGCGCGACTCGAGGCAGGCAGCGAGCTCGCGCACCCACCCCTCCCCCGCACAGCTCCCCGCACCCCGCACAGCCCTGGCAGCTTCTGCGCGGTGCCGAGAAAGGCGGCTCAGAGCCGGGCAGCCTGGTGCCTCTTAGAGACCTCCAGTCTTGCGCATCCGATTTTAGCACCGAGGACAGCGCTTTGGTCCATGCAGGTTTACTGTAGCTGCAGAGATGCTTCAGCCAGATCCAAATGCTGCAAAACTGATTTCCGGTTGCTATGCCTAGGAAGCCGAACTGCTAATTGCTGTTGGCGGTGGAGCTTTCTTCCGTAGGGCCCTGTTGTTTTACATTAAGCACACTGAATATGATTTGATTGTCTCAAAATCCGCTAGGCAATATCGACACACTGCCTTCTGCCTCACCTGACCCAGCTAAAAAGCAAACTATTCCCTGAAGGGACGACTCCAAAAATTGTGAACTTTGGCTTACTATGATGCAAGCATAATCCCAGGGAAACCCAAAATTCTATTCTTAACTACAAAACTTGCCAAAAGGTGGGGGATAGAGAGCTGGATTAAACCTTTGAAAGACTGTAGGAGTCCATCTTTGGAGTATGCCACTTTGGGTTGTGGTTCGATTTGTTCAAGTCACACTGCCTGTGTATTGCTCTTGTACTATAGTGCAGACTCCCTCCTGCTGTACGGATGTAGACTTGGCTCTTAGATGTCTTATGTCTTTTTTTTTTTTTTTTGATTGAAAGGAACGTAGGTTTCTGGGAAAAAATAGACCAAGGTAGTCTAGAAAGGATGCATCGCTTCATAATCTTTCCAGATGCTCAGTTACAAACCAGATACCCCATTACATTATGGCTTTAAGTTTCAAAAATAATCACTGCCTCAAGGAAGTAGGTTACCTCATTACATCGAGCCTGCTTGAATATCCGGAATATAACAAGTAGGTTAGAAATTAGTCTGTGAGAAGGGACTTGGTAAAGTGTACTGATGGTTGTATATGCCTGTGAAATTCATGTTCAATACTCTACTTCACACTAAGCCATCTTTATATACCTGCTGTGACAATTCTCTCTGAAGCCTCAGAAATTCTATACCAAACTGTATGTGTTTTTGTTTTAAACAGAGAAATGAAAAAAAGTCTCAGTTCAAAGATCTGTTGCCAGGAACCAGGAGATTGAAGCTGACAATATCAAAGGGAGAATTGGCTGATGGCCCAAAGTGCATGAGAGGACTCCATTGTTATACCTTATGGAGAAAAAGTGACTTTAATATCACACATGGTAGCTTCCTTTTTAACTGTCTTAAATCATATTTCTGCCTTAGTCACACAGGGTCTAAAATTCGCCATTTATTAAAACAGATTTTAAAATATATATTCCTCATAAAGAGGAGAATGAACAAAAGCAAAAAGCAAAGTAATACCTGTGGCTTCTAAATATTGTAAGCTTGTGATTTTAAGTCATAATCTCCCTTTCTCACTCTCACTTTCTCTTTCTTCCACCCTCCCCTCTGTGTATGTGTGTGTGTGTGTGTGTGTGTGTGTGTTCCTAAGGAAAGAATGCAGACCATATGTATAATTGTATAATGTACTAAGGTTATAAGCTTACATATTCTGGGTGAAAATACCTTCTTTTTATAACCAACAATTTATTTCACCTGGGAATTAAAAACTCCACACTATTAATCAGGCCCTCTAAATAGAAACGTACAAAGCCTTGTAGAAAATCAATAAGAATAAAATTAGAGGAAAACAAGAATTATAAATACCCCAACTTGTTACATAAAGAATAATCAAACAAATTATACACATTTTCACCTCTAATTCTGATGCCCAGCACAAGAGTGCTTTGAAGTTTATGAACTTCTACATCTAAAAGAATCAGTTCAACAGATACAGCAAATAAAATGTCCCCTCAGTAACATTCTCCTTTTACTTGCTATTCAATATTTTTCATCAAAGCATCTTCAGTCTCATCCAAAGTGCTTTGAGATGATAGTTGGAGATAGAGGGACAGGAGTTTGTTTAAGGAAAATAAATGTGTGATAATGTGTCAGAAAAGCAAATTAAATTTTTTTTTTTAAAAAAAAGACTTTTCAAAAGCAGCTTTCATTTTAACCTATTTGAAATTCAAGGGCAGATCTGAACTCAAAATTGACTTCATTTCATCCTTAAAGAAAAAATGAATTTGCTGAATCATAGTGCTTTATCCCCAGGGAATATGTACAACCTTATCAAATATTACCTCCTATTGCTAAATTGTAATTTTATATAAAGTCTATAAAATTTTATCAAGCATTTTTGAAATGTAATTGCTACTCTAGTAATCTATATTAAAAGCTTAGGTAAATATATGACTTTCACACAGCTATAAACATTTCATACTAAAGCATAACATAACTACATCAATATGAATTTTCATGATGTTTTTCAGTGTACTACATTCTAAATATTCTTCTCACCACAGAATGCTGTTTAATTAAGTATAGTGAAGTTAAACTGAATGGAGTAAATGGTTTTACAATAAATAGAAAAATACTGGCGTTTGGATTTTTATATGCCTAAAGATCACCATTTAAAGCCACAAAGCTTCGTGTTTCTTGCATACTCATCTTAACCTTATCAATAACAAAATCAATTTTGAATATTACAAAGAAATTGAATAGAACAATAGGTTCTGAAGACCAAGTTGCTGTTTTCTGCCCTCTGCTGTTCACTTCTGGAAACTCTGTAGCCCTTAAGCATTCTTTCAGATTCAAGAATATTCACAAAAAGTAAAAAACAATATTGTCTTTCTCATTGATTGGTCCAGTAGTTAGTGGTTGCTGTTGTTTTGGTATGTACTTATATTGAAATATAATTTGTAGAATGATAAGTGTTAGATATTCATTTGCTCATTCTATCTTATTCCACCTTTATTTCAACTATAATTTCTTTTAAAAATTTTAAGGAAAATTTTCATAAGCTATTTGACGAATTTAACTATCAAGTCTTCAAGTTTTATATTCATATTCTATAATTAAAATAATTCTCATAGAGAAAGTTTGTCATGTGTGGTGAATGGAGTGGTGGTCATTTTGAACAGACTTGAAACAAACTTATGGGCGCATACTTAGTCAAAAACTGTACTATTAACTCAGGTGTTATAGATCACACTGGTAAAGTCTGACCAAGTTGAAGTCATCAGAACCCTGAAAGGCTTAGCTACAATTCAGCAAAAGATGGGAGATGGTCAAAGAAACAGTCCCTGTACACAGAACAAAGTTCCAGTGGTCTAATCATGAGACCTTATTTCCAAAGACACCAGAAAAAAGTGAAGAAGAGTTGTGAGGTTCTAAATATAAAGATTTTGAGATTCTCAATTAAGAAAAAACTATAGCTAAACATTCAAATTGAGACAATATTGTTCATACTGTTGTTTTGTCAGAATTTTAAATTATTGACTCAACATATCAAATTCAAGGCCTAAGAATACATGTCTAAAACTAGTATTCATAAGCATTACAAATGTGTGTGTATAAATATATATATGTGTATGTCTGTATATGGATATGATATTTAAAGTATAGAGTCCTAAAATAGAAAAACATAGTGTTCATTTTACGTTTGAAGGATTTGATGTCATCAGTTTTAATTATGGCATCTATATATAACAAGGGAGTACAGTATTTATCTATTATGCTTGGTGCTGTAAATTATGAGATTAAGATCGTGTGATGAGGAAATGACAAATCTGGAAGTTAGGCAAATTATCAATAAACTATGAGGATGATTGTTATGATGGACAATTGTGGTTCTGAACTTAACACATACAGGAAGAAGAAACTTCAGTTGAACAGTTACCTTAATTAGACTGATCCCTGGGTATGTATATGGGGGCATTTCCTTAATTGTTGGTTGATACAGGAGGCCCTAGTACACTGTGAACACTGCAATATCTGGGCAGGTGGTCCTGGGCTGTATAAGAATGGTTACTGAGCAAGTCAGCAAACAAATCCAGTAAGTAGTGTTCCTCTGCCAGTTTCGACTTCAAGCACCTGCCTTGAAATCCTCTCCTGGCTTTCTTCAACGATGGATTGTAACCTATAAGCTGAAATAAGCCCTTTCCTCTCCAAGTGGATTTTGTTCATTACAGCAACTGAAAGCAAAGTAGAACAGTAGGCGAATAACTCTAATGTCAACTGTATCTTGGATTTCAAAGGAAAAAACATGTCATCAAAGGCTCACACCTGGATTGAGTCAAGCAAGGTTTAGCTAAGAAAAGGCTAGCATTTTGCCGAGGAAGGCAATTCATAGAAAGCCAATGACATCAGCAAATCATGGGCACATGCTGAGAATTACAAGTAGTTCAGTGTTTCTCAGAGAGGGAATGCAAGGAAAACATTGGTGGCAGAAACAAGACTATGGCTTGAATTATATGCAGTATATATTTATATATATTATATGTGTATAAAATATACACATTTTTACTTTATCTTGCAGAGGAAAGGGACGTTTTATAGATCACATAGAGATGAAATGTCTTAAGACTTGCCTTTCAGACTACTTTGGAAGAAGTGTTTAGGTGGGAG